TGCTTCCCTCCTTTCCACCGTTGAAAACAGATCTAACGGAAGTTTGTCAAGGCTAAAGGATTTTTTGTTTTTAAACGAGTTGCTTATTGAATTCCTTTTCTTGCACGACGGTCTAGTGATGAGAGCAGACGGCTAAAGGCGAGCTCGCACGTGCTCAACTATTGATTGCTTAATTACTCAACCGTGCGTCTGTCATGCTATCAAAACATCCCAGGCCCGAGTGACCCAATTTTAGCGGGTCCTGGGAGAATAGTTCGGATCAAGCATCAATACGCACAGGTCAAGGGAAACAGATTCGCTTTCTCTTAAATTTGCGCGTTTCAATTGGCGTGTCGCGACACTCGACGTGATGCGGGTGTTTCGCCAAGGTTTACGGGTGCGTCGCAAGAGTTGCTTTAGATAAACTACGTTGTTGATGGGACTTATATAAAATAAGTTGTTAATATGTAATCCAAAACATCTAAAAAAAAAGTATTTAGTTTTGAAGCTGTCCCTCGGCGAAACGGCTAAATTCAAGTTGGTCAGTAGCAAAAATTTAATTATCTATTTCTAGTCTGTCGTAACGTTATGATGAATTCAGTGGTGTATATTAATGAAAGAAACTTGACACCCTATATATAATTTAGTCCCGAATGCCCCATTGAAATAAATCTACCAGTCCCATGTGTGTTTAACTATTCACGGGGGAAAAAAAGGGGAGGGGGGAGGGGGGGTCGGTTTATTTGGCTAAGATCTCCCATCCACATTGCCCTCGAAATGAAACAAATTTTTTGGGGTAATAGTTGACGCTTTACCACACAAAAAAATAATAATAATATACATAAATACTGAATAAATTATTATTACGATTGCATTTTCTTAAGTCACTTAAGTTGATAACTATTTCTTTAGCCTTGAGATGAAATCAGAAATTTTATGAAAATCAGGTTCCCAATATGGTCTCCATGTCACTATACTATAATATATTTTATTACACTCTTAACACAACAATGACACAATGAATCAACTTTTAGCCTTCATTTTTGCCACAAGTGTTTATAAGGGCCAAAGTATTTTGAACTGGCCTATTTTACTAAATAATCTAGAAAGGAATATAAAAATATATTTACCTTCAGTGCACTGTATTGTTTCTTTTTCAGGACCTTCATTTTGTAGTTAGGAATATCCAAGGCAAATTTCAGGTCAATTAAATAAACAACAATTGTTTGAAATTTCATGTTTGAAAATGTCCCCTAGTGTACAGATCCCCTTCTCTTGCTTCTATGGTATCTAAGAAGCCTTTTCTGATGGCTCTTGTCTTAGTCTTTTAATCTCTTCTGGCTTGATTTGTTGGCTTCTACCCTGGATAAGTTTATAAGTATGTTGCCCTTCATTTGACATCATTTCTAAGTGAAATTCCAATTTGAACAGCAATCTGCAAGATGTTCATATTATTTTATAATGGATGAAGAAGCCAATGAAGCACCATCATGAATATGCCATTCCTCCCTCTGAAGGGCCTTAGCCTCCCCCCCCCCCTTTTGACGTAAAAATGTTTAAGTTTTATATATCAGTAAAAAGCACAAGGTCAATGCAGAGAATTGGTGCCATGACGTCATAGGTAAACTTACTAAAGATGTTCATATTATTTTATAATGGATGAAGAAGCCAATGAAGCACCATCATGAATATGCCATTCCTCCCTCCGAAGGGCCTTAGCCTCCCCCTCCCCCTTTTGACGTAAAAATGTTTAAGTTTTATATATCAGTAAAAAGCACAAGGTCAATGCAGAGAATTGGTGCCATGACGTCATAGGTAAACTTACTAAGGCTGGACCCCTGTTAAAAACTCACAGTCACATACTTCCTTGTTTAATTGCATAATTAGTTGCTTGGACTTGGACCAAAATAATCATTTAGTGTATTCTCATTTGGCGTATCGACAATTTTCTTTATTTATTTTCATAGGGATGTTTCTTCCTTTTTTTCCCTCCATAACAATCCGTGTATATTACTTTATTATTAACCACTAGGGCTAGTCGTGACTCGTGACTTGACAGTACTAGTACTAGTTTACTAGTGCCAGAGACTAGTTTGGGTGTCAATATTCCTTAATTATTGAAACGAGCCTTTTGTGTCATGGTATAGAGTCATTTTTGTTTCCCGTGTTTATAAGTGTCACAAGTGATAACTTTCTAATTTATTCAAATTAAAATAAATCATTCGAATAAAGTCAACCAGAACTGAAATTTTGATTTGAAAAAAAACTACCACTTCTGCTTTTCAAACATCAAACAAATATTAAGAGTGATCTCCCCCAATGATTTTTTATTTTAACTTGGTTGCTTTTATGTTTAAGATCATAATTATTTCGCATTTTCAGAAGAAAAAAATATCAATTGTAATTGTGATCGCAGTAATAGGGTGTAAAAAAACAGTTGCTTTACAAAATTAGTGACGTTAGAGTTCTTAGAGGATTATTGCATTTCAATGTAATAAATTTGTCGGATAAGTAGTTACATGTATGTAGTTTACAACTATGCATAGGACTAGACCTAAAAATGTCAAATTTCACAATTTTAGTAACGTCTTCTAATTAAGCTACGGGTCCTAATCTCGCGGCCCGTAAGACGATATTTTGTGGCCTCGATACCTGACAGCAGAGATCAGTGTTAATGTGGCCCGCTCAGCTGCATAAGAAGAAGCGCTGCCAGATCTCTGGCAACAATGAGTAGGAAGAAGTAAGTGAAGCCCAGTTCTCGTGAACCCTTAATGTTTTTGTTATTAATAAAGGTTGAGAAGATTGTAACAGTTGTTCTTTATTGAATTAATCATCACTTTCTTTGTGGAATACTTGATGCGGCCCAGTCTCACTCAGACTCTACTTCCTGCGGCCCCCGGATAATTTGAGTCTGAGACCCCTGACTTAAGCAATTACAATTCAGTCTGAAAGCCAACGTTTCAATTGCTCTGACCGTTATCACAGCATCAAATAAGACACTAAGTCTAAGTAAAGATAATCACTGAAAGTGAACTTCTTGCAACAAAATGTGGAAAACAGAACTGAGCAGCCTCTCCCTCTCTAAGATGGTATGTCTGAAACTAACCTTAGAAACCTTAGCTTTTACTCCTCTTTGGACTACTGCTCCAGGTGATCATCATGGGCGGAAATTACTGGGAACTTTAGCTTAACCACATTGGTAACTTTTGAAGGAACAAATCCACAGGGGACCATGGATCCACAAGGTGTTTGCGTGGACCCATCCCCATTCAAAATTTCAACTGAGGGCCATGTAATGTATATTTCCAGTTGACTTCCATAATGTTCCATTAGTCAGTAGTCCGGGCGAAAGTCTTCATCTAAATACATGCGTATATTATCATTAGGGCAGGTCTAAATATAGGCAGTAACATTAAGTTTGGGGTAAAAGGCTTAATCTAAGTATATGCATTTATATTAGGGCCTATTGGAGCAGATCCAAATATAGGCAGTAACATTATATTTGGCAACCACCATACAGTTATTGAAAATGTAACTAAATACAAAAACACCTAAACAGATGAATAAAAAGAACAATTAATTGTCTAACATGAATATCACAAAATTGACAAGACACACCTCTGGATTAGGTCAACATGTTTTAATCAGTAACTGAAGACAAAAAAAAAAATAAGAAGAGATTAAACATCAAAAAAACTCCAAATGTAGATCATAAAATAACCAAAAAACAATAGTGGTAAATATTTCATGATACTAAATCATCCAAAGGAGAGGAAAAGAGATAGAGAAGAATATGAAATAAGCAAAAGCTATTTTTAATCAACATTTTCCTGTCAAGTGTACATTTAAAGATTTTTCTGTCTATCATCTTGTTTTTCCCAGGCAGTGGTGTTATAAATAGCTGTTGTTTTTAACCCACGGCCACCCGTTAGGCGTTAAGTAGCCTTGAAATATCTACAGCACCTTGAAATAGTTCAAAGTTGAATAAATGATCTTTGATCTCTTTGACAGGTTTATTTAATTAAAAATTCGTGGAACGGCCCTTGACATCACCATTAGCAAACTGAAACTAGTTTGCAACGAAAATGTGTCATACTGTACTAAATTATTATTTTATTATAAACAAGATCCAAATTTAAAGACCTTTTAGGAAATTGGTGACCAGAAATTCAATTGATTGTTTATAGATTTATATAGATCCTAGAAACAGTGCTTTAAAAAGACACATATTGTCATGATTCAATTGTATTGTAGTATTGAATTTAACAGCTGCTGCATTAGAAATTGATCCAAAAAAAAAATGTTTTAAAAAAATCATTATTAAGGTTCTATTGGACAAATTTTAATATGTGATAAAGGTTTGTTTTAGTACATCAAATAGTTTACCATAAGGTGAGTTGTAGAGATTTGGAGATAATGAATTCCAAATAGAATTGAATCCAAATGGTCCTAAGTTGTGTGGTCCACTGTAGTTTTATAATACAAGATTAGTTTTAATATAGGATTCCAGTATGGTCAACAGATAAAAAGGGCCTATAGATGATAAAGACCACACTTAATATGAACAAGGCATTTAGTACAGCCATCAAGCGACGTCCACAGATGAAAGGCCTTGAATTCTATACATATAATAGACTCTTTCATACAGTCGTCTGATGAGGACTGCCTTACAACAGGCTCAGCAAGTGTTGACTTGAATGACCTATAGATAAATGATCAAGCATCAGTCAATTAACAGTTTTTAAACATGATAAGATAATGCATTGGTCACTAACATATATTTGAACAGGCCGAGACGCAAATATGTTTCCCATTCAAATGTTTCAAGAATTGTAAACATCCTAGGAGACACAACACTTTTTGTAGAAGTTAAACAGCATTAAAAAGCAAGTACATGTAACATGCTAGTTTGAAATGCCACTTTCAAATTCCAGCCTGCCTTCCTTTGAACAGGTAACATCATGTCTCCCTGAAAAAGTGTCACCATCAGGTCAAGGCCAGCTTGGGTTAAACCCCCCCCCCCCCCAATAGAAAGTGTTTGGTATTGATAACCTTGTTGCAGTCAACATTCATTTGGAATTAGGTCAACTCATTTTAAAACCAAAATAAAATCTTCAAAGGTGGACACAAGCTGCATCTTGTTTAAGCTTGATATTTGGTGCTTTTAGTTGAAATACAGGCTTGTTAGAATGTTCTTTTACAGGATGGATTGCTGCTTTGATTACTGGAGAAATTGGAACAAAAGATAATCTTACATTTTGCTTCCAACAATCATCTCATCTCAAGAACTACTGCTAAATTTAAAGTTAGTTAACCCAAACAAATCCAATCGGGACAGTCACTTTAGTGACGCACACACAGCCAAGGGAGGGCACAAGTATCACATTAGTGACATTCAGTAAATATACAACAGTCTCTAGCAAAAAAAAAAAGTTCTGGAGGGGATGCAACTCTTTCTTGTTCAAGTCAATGCAAATGTCCATAATATGAGATAGGGTCACATTCTAATTAAATCTACTCAATTCATCTAATAATGAGATCCTTTTGTTGAATTAACTCAGGCAGCACCAAAAATGTGCCACCTCCTGCTATACTTAAATTTATTGGACTGTTTATAAGCTTGACATTCTTAATACAGTGGTTCTCAAAATATAGCCCTATTTTTTTTTTATACACGGGACCCCTCTGGGACACCAAGAAAACATTCTGCGACACATAGGAGGTCACAACCCACTGACTGAGATTGTCTAATTTATGCAGTCATTAAACCTTTAACGGGCAAGATAGCACATAATGAATGATTTCAATTTATAACTTGAGCTGTTGAGTCCAGTTTTGTAAATATTGAACGATAGGTGTAAAGTAAAGATTAGCAAGTGAACATTTGACTAAATAAGTTAAAACTTCAGGAAAAAAGCCCTGGAAGAAACATAACATTTTGTTTCTGTACAATTTTTAATTAGCAATGAAGTTACCACAAGAATTGATTACATCTTTTTGTTTTGCATACTGATCAGATTCAAGAGTAACTACATACCAAGTGAGAGTGTTACAGTGATCAGATTCAAGAGTAACTACATACCAAGTGAGAGTGTTACAGATACAAATGACTAATTACCTGTCATTCAAACAAAAGCTAATACAGAAGGTAAAACATTATATTGGATTTGAATACCTCGTTACTTTTGATCAGGACTATTCAACAGTTGGCACTCATATTGACTACACATAGATTTCAAACATTGCAACCAGGTTTTCAGTTGAATCAAAATCTATAAACTGCTTAACCTTAACCTATTGACTTTCATCAATGAAATATCCATGTAAAATATATTGGTCTGTATTTCAAGAAGAAAGTTCAAAGAATCACGCTTAGATTAACTTGGTCACACAAAAAGCATCAATATACATTATTCACGAGACAGACACCAGCAAAGAGCATTCTATTATCATATACATGTACACTGAAAGAAAAATCTACACATTAACAAAATCTTTCTGTAACATTCAACAAGTAGTTATATGCTTCACAAACACCTGCTGAATGAAATATATACCTTTATACTTTAAACAAATGATATCATATAACATAATTACTGTGTCAAGGAAGACCCCCTTATCTTCTTTCTTGTCTTGTCATACAAACTGTTACGTGCATTAAATAAACTGCTGGATTAGTCTGTACACATATAACTATACCAATGGTACATACAAAACACATTGAATGCATGCATGCTGAGAAATATATTTAGCTATTTATATATATAAATTTATGCGAGCAAATGAATTAACAAACCCAAATAACAAAAACTTTGAAGACAGCATTTTGTGAAGTTAAATAAGAAAAAAAATAGAATTTATATGTAAATAAAACCCAGAGAACCCATAAGCATAAAAATTTGTTGCAAAACATTAAGTCAGATATAAGACAGAATACTTTTACACAATAGAAACAAAAGTGGACCATTGGACCGTATCATCCATGACAACGGTGATCAGCTTCTGAACACCTAACAACAAAGTGATGCACACAAAGAGATGATTGAAGTTTCATATTAGGCCACAACTGGCACATCTCCCACTTATACAAATCGTTTTTATCACCCAGAACACAAAGCAAATAGATTATAAAGGTGTCACATATTAGTGAACCGGCTCATCTGCCATTCATTACACATATTTTTAACAAAGAAAACACGTTTTGCTAACCTATCAATGTCATACTACATTTTATATCCAGATACAACTCCTGGAATGAATAGATTTGTGAAAAATTTAAAGCATTCAATCTCATAATGGCAGACATAATTTTTTTGTTTTTTAAATTTCAGTAGTTTGACAAAAGCCAGATCCAGGGAGCAGTTTTTCTAATCTATTTCAAGTTTGATAACAGATAGACATATCAATTTACTGGGTGCCGGCAATACAAATTGTTACTTTGAACTGTCTTGTAGAAAATAAAACAGATCTTTTAAGAAAATAATAATTTATAAATAGAAAAAAATAATGACAAACTGCTGGTGTCACAAGTTAAACACATTGACTTTACATAAATCAGAAGAAATGAAGAACTTTCATTAATGTTGAGTACAAGTACACCAGATACTGCTTCAACTTCCATTCATACTTGACCAAGGTAGGGCGTTGAGAAAATATGCTAGTGGTAGATATTTAGTGAGTTGGCAGGTAATTTATTTAAATGTTAGGGACCTCTTTATCTTTTACTGGTTCAAAGTTGAATAAAGAACCCTCAGTTTTTTTTTGAAATATACATTTATTTTAATCCAGTCCTGGATATTTATAGAAAAATTAGATCCAAAATAAGTTTCCGCCACACATAAAATTACTAACATAGTTGTTTTTATTACTTTCTTCCATTTTGTAAGCAGTAGTATAAAAATAGTGCATAAATTGGTATTTGACATTAACCCAAAAAATTGGTATGACAATTTTGACACGCCAAGAACCAGAAAATCTATTTCTATTATTGCCCATCTATGACAAAAGAAAGCATTATCAATAATTAAGTTTAAAATTAAGGTGTCGTCATTTGAATCCATCTTCCCACACTGGCCAGGACTTATTTTTTAAATTATTATCTTAAGAGTATGAATGATCAGATATTGATTTGGTTACTTTCAGCTTGAGATGAAAGGTAACCACTCACTAGAAACTCAATAACCCAAACCTACATAAACATCTACTGAATTCAGCTTCCTACCAACCAGCCAACAACCAGAAAGTATTGATGCTATTACAATAACACTTGGCACAATGAAAACACACACTCCACATGCAAGTGACTCAAGATAAATTGAAACTTCAAGCCAACAACCTTCAGGCATCAATAAAAAAAAACATTATTTAAGTATATTAAGTAAAATGAATGACTGCTTTTGACCAGCAGAATACAATAGCTAGTACATAAGTAAATTAATCTTAATTCTAAGATTACCAGCTTCCACCTCTGGAGGTCACAGACCTCACCACAGATAGAGACCTCTAGGGAAACACATCTAGTTGTTGCTTTCTCTAGCATTTCTATATTAAATGTATCCATTCATATTTACACATTTAAATCTTATTTAAAACTGTTCCATTCATCTTTCCTAAAAAAATTACATTTTAAACATTCATCCCAAAAATAGAATAAAAACAAAAAATTTCTAATTCAGACTGACAATGAATAAAATTTTAATACAACAGCAACATAAAATTAAAACTGTATAAGCATTTAAAAATGATCAACAAGAGCATTGGACTAAAACATTATTTATAAATACCCTACAATATTTTGCTTATAGCTCATCCCGTAAAATAGTATATCTGTTCCTGGAAGGTGCCAGTTTTTTAAATGTCGACTCTGGAGGTGATGTAATTTTTTGTTGTGCAGCAGGCTTGGGTTCATCACTAGTATCTCTTGGAATGTTCTTCTAATAGGAACAAAAAAATTAATAATATTACTTTATGTACAGATCAAGGTAATATGTTTAGGAAAGTATAACAATTTAAAATTGAATGCAGCGTAAAAATAATCACAATCCAGAAGTATATTTATATTCAGCCAATTAAAAAATATTAAATGTTGTATAGTTTAAGACTTTGGGAAAGTTTAATTTTGATTGTCCCATTTGATAGAGTGGTTAAAAAACTGTATCAATACTTTGTCAAAAGCCTTTTGAACATCTATTTGTGATTTCAAACTCCGGAGAACTTTTGAAATACGTTTTTTTATTGAAGAGATGGCAATGAGAAATGTCAAATAAATTTTTTAAATTTCTTCTTTAGTTTAAGGTGTTAAAAAAGATATTTAAAAAAACAAAACAAATTAAAATGTTAAATAAGTATATATCTTCTCACGGTTTCTGATTCAACTTCTATCTGGGGAACAGAGGGCGGTGTGGTTGGGTCAGGTCCATGATGGAACTCTCTGTGTAATTTTCCAGAGTGTAGGTCCTCAATAAACTGTTTCAAAAGGCCTGGTATCCTGCAAAAATACATTTTAAAAATGGCTTTCAATATAGAAAAAAATATGTAAATGCGTGAGATCTTATTTATAAGAAAAGAAGGAGGCAGATGAGAAAAGATTTACAACGTTGAAGAGGGAAATTTAAAATGATAAAAGTCATTTAAGAAACATTTCAAGACTTTTTTCTATAAAAAGAGTTAAGGACATTTAGAGCACTGTGAGCATGCTAAAACAGCATGAATACAAGCGCTATAAAAGAATCCAATCATCATCAACCCTCAAAGATGTACATCTTTTAATTGTTCAACTTACCCTAAATCTTTTTTAACATCATGAGGAAACAGGTACATGTGCCTAAAACTATCTATTGCCAAGATAGGAAGATCATCAGTAGATTTTCCCAAGTGATGCAGTGGATGAGCAAACTTGAGACCATCGGCCACAAGAAAGTTGATATTAACTGGAACACAAATATTGAAATCAATTAATGCACATTTATAGGGTTTTTTTTATATCCTTTTAAACATTTATTTTATCCACAATTTCAGACTAATATATTAATGCCAAAATGTAAACACATGCCTTTTTTAAACATAAATTCATGTCTATGAAATAGTGTTTTATTTACAACATAGAGGACAAAATGTATTGTCAAAAATGGTTGATTTTTTACTAATAAAATAGTTGGCAATAAATTTACTTTTATCAAATTAAAGTTGATTTTCTGAATTAATTAGGAATAAAAGTATCTTATAAACAAATTCAAAAGCTTTAAATTTACAGATAAGATGTAAAAAATGTATTTGTAACTATATTTTTCAATAAAATAGAAGAGCATATAGCTTATTCAAAACCTCAGAGTGAATGCAGGTAAAATATGCTACTTATGATATCTGATAAGTAAATCCATAACAACAGAACTCCACCTTTTTCATGAACAACCTGCTCTGCAACCACTTTGTTAAAGAGATCCACTGATTCCGTATCATCAGGGTGGTGAAACAGAATAAGAAAAGGCAGACCTTCCTCAGTTAACTCCTGTGAAAGAAATTGGTGGCATCTCAATGTAAGAATTTTTAGGGGGAAAAAAAACCAAGTCTGAGCGGAAATTTTGATGAGCAGCCTCTAAAAAAATATAAAAACTCTGAATGAAAGTTCTTGATAATAAAACAAACAGTATAAATTTTCCAAGTAGTCTGAACATGATCCAAATATAAATGTCATATAATGATTAAGTATATTTTCTTTCATAGTTCAGAGTGATAATAACTATATGGATGAGTATTGCTTTGGAATTTTTCATATACAATGCATTCTATCTCCATATAATTGCTTTTTGTGCTTCAAAGATCTGAAACACACTTTTAGTCAATGCAAAGTTAATGGTTTTATAACCAAATTTTTTTCAATGCTGGTTCCCTGCATTTGTAACCATTAATAAATCAAATTCAGTTGTTTTCTTAATCAAAGCAAACCTCAGCATTCTCAAAAGTTATCTCCCTGATAAGGGGCATGCACTTCTCAGTTGCCCACTGCTGGAGAGCTTCATAGTTATTCAATGAGCCAGTATAAGGCTGATCTTCATGAACAGTCTATGGATGATAGGAAAAAAATGCATATTTAATGTGAGATTAAAATTAAAGGCAAAATATAATAAACTCTCACATGGAGTAATTTAAAATGTGATGTGTATCCAATAACAGTTCAATACCAAAGTATGCTCATAAAAATTTATCACAAACTTACATTTGGAGCCCTTGCACTAATATGGTCTCCTGTTGTCCTTTCTGGCAAAGAAACATCTCTGGGGAGAAAATAGCAAGAATCATGACACTGCTTAATGACCTAAAATTTCATCCAGACTGATTCATAAAATAAGTTAAAACTGATCAGCAAAATTTAGCATGTTCATTTAATGAATCGACTCCATTATTATAAAAATCATGAATTTTGTTTATTGACTTACCCTAGAGATGCATGAAACTCACAATCGTCTCGTAGTACATTTGCCACTTTATTAAATATTCTGTAATTGTCTGATGTTTTACTTTCAAAGTACCCAAGTATGTGTCGCTTTTTGGCCTGAAAAAAAATGATTAAAATGCAATTTACTTTTAGGCATATTTTATAACAACCCAACACTTCAGTCAAGTTGTGATAATTACTTGAGAACTAGAATAGAGTTCTCCAAATGGTGGTCTGCAGACTGGCACCAGACTTTGAGACTTACGTTGCCGGTCAGTACAACTTTAGGAGCCTGGAAACCTGATGCTATGTTCCAGATTAAAATTTTAAAATATGAAACCTATTATCAAATGACCCCATGAAACAAGGCCAAACAAATTTAATAAACAATTTTTAGCGATACAAGATCATGCCTCAACTGGCAATGCTTTGTAATGTTTCCATAGGAAAAAAAGGAATGTCAAATAACACACATAATAGTAGAACAAGTTGACTGAATCCATGCTACTGATGGGGAAAACACTAGCATGCCCTACTTTTCGGCTCCTTCGATGTCCTAAAAATCATGTAAGTTTGTATTGCTTATTTCCCTTCAACGTGCACCTAAACCTTTACTTAACAGTTGTAAATTAAAAGCGTTAAATTAAACAGCCAGCATTAAATGGTAGTCGAATTTGCCGATTACAGATAAAAAATATTTTATGTCATATTTAAGGTGAGACCCTGCATCATATGTGGCTGCAAGAAGCCTCGGATATTTTAAGGAGCCAAAATTTTAAAATTGTTTTGATGTGGAAAAAAATAGTTAAAGTTAGTATTTTAAATTCCACTGAACAGCTAAATAACAAAAAAACTGATAAATGGTGAAAAAAAAAAGAAAGGAAGGGGGGGGGGGGGGGGGGGGGGGGGGTTGTTTCCAAAAGTCAGGTGATGGCTCAGAGTAGGAAATAAGAAAAAAAAAAAATTAATAAATCTGGCATCGGCCCCCATTTGAAGGGGAAACTTGTCCACCAGTCTGACAAACTTATAAGTTTGGGAAATGCTGACCTAGAATCAACAACAAGTTTTTTATGTCTGAACTAAATGACTGACTATACTAAAAATATTCTAAATACTAATACTTTTACACACAAAAAAACTTACATCCAATTCAAGAAGAGATTCTAGGTTTGTGATTTCATGTACAGGATCTTTTGCCTGCTCTTGTGCAAACTGTACCATAGCCTCAACTGACCTCTGACCTCTATATTCCTTTTTGACAATATTACCTCCTCTAAACAGTTTCAGTGTTGGGTACTTGTTTATACGATATTTACCAGAAATGCCAGCTAAATCATTACAAGATAAGCACAGTGGATTAAATATTATGAATAGTAAAAAGAATGCAATTTAATCACATGAAATATGTATTAGATTACATATAATTTTAGTTCACTCAACTTTAGAGTTGGAATAGTGTAACCCATTTATGCAACATCTACATAAACTGATGATTTAATTAACATAGTAGTTAGTGATACAGCTAAAGTGCAAAAAAATCCTTTTCCACTCTATAACATTATATCATTAATAGCTGAGTCAACAAGGAAGTTACTTTATTTTTTATCAAAAATTGAATCAAAGACTTACTTTCTTTATCACAGTCAACCTTGGCAAATACAATACGACCAGGGACCTGAAATGTATTATGTTTTGCATTTCAAATGTCTAAATGTTTATGCCATATCTAAATTATAAAAAGTCAGAATTTTTTTGTATGATGGCATTATAGTGGTGACATAGTTAGAACCTATATTTGATAATAGCAACAATAGACACAAAATGTATCTGAGGCCAACAGGTGATCTTACCGAAAATTCCTCCTTAATTTTTTTCCCAGCCTCTTCAAAAGTTGGTGCTAGTATCTGACTAAATCTGCACCTGAAAAGAACATTTCAATCTGCTATTATAACACAAGGTTTTCATCATATAAGTTTTAATGAAACATACCAATAATAATAATGAAACATATTAAACAAGTAGCAGACTAACACTCACCAATCTGCATAAAAATTTACAATGGCTATATCACTTCCACCTGAGAATAAAAGGAGAAAAAAAAAACAAAAAAAAACAACAATTTATGAATGTGAAAGATAAGTATAAATTTTCAAAAGATTGAGTGTGAACAACTTTACAAAGCCTTTCTTTTTTTAATTTAGCATCTTTGAGCAATGTAACATGAACTTCAAGTACTCGGATAAAGGAACATAAAAAGAAACAATTCCTTTAAAAGTACACAAATAATCAATGATCTCAAAAATTATTACTTTAAACTTACCCAATACGCTATCTATATTGTGGTCATTTAGTGCAATTACTTCACCGAATACACTGTGGTAGCTGAATAGTTCAACCTAAACAAATAAAATATAATAATAATAATAATAATAAAGTTCATTTCAAAAACACGCTTCATCCCCAAAGGCTCGAAGCGCTGTACAAAGTCAACAAAATACAAATCTATAATCTACCACATTTAAAACAAACGCAACACTACAAAAACTAATTACTAGCATACAATTGCAAAGTCTTTCTAGCCATTTCAACCCCAAGCAACACAGCCATTATGCATTAACTTGAAAATAAGGTTGACAATCATCCCAGAAGGTGTTTGCGAAATAGGTGTGTCTTTAAATTGGTTTTAAAGGACTCCAGTGTCTGGTTGTTTCTGAGATCGACAGGAAGGGCGTTCCAAATTGTTGGACCAGCAAATGCGAAAGTGCGCTTTCCGCAAGTCTCAAGGCAAACACGTGGTGTTGAGAGTTTGCCACTATCGGATGAGCGGAGCTCTCTAGTGGGTAGATAAGGCGTAAGCAGCTCTTTCAGATAGGACGGCGCCAGGTCATGTAAGCAGCGGTAGCACAACGTTGCGATTTTGTAATCTATGTGAGCACGCACCGGCAGCCAGTGCAGCTTTCTCAGAAGTGTTTTTGCATGGTCGAACTTGCGTTTGCGGAGAACAATGTGAGCCGCATTATTCTGTGCTATTTGAATTTTATCCAGGAGCGTAGCTGGAAGATCCACCATGAGAGCATTGCAATAGTATAATAATATATACATTACATTTGATTTCCCATGGAGAAATACCGGTTAGTAAAAGATTATGAGCTAGCATCTGTTTGCAATGATGTTTGTGATTTCACTTTACAAATATTACAAATATAGATTTAGCAATACTACTGCTAGTAGCAACTAGCTTCATATATGCTTCCAAGAAGCTTTGGTGACTGGTTCTTTTAAGATGGAGCTGAGCAGTGTTACTAAAAAGTTAGGGAAATGGTTGTACCTTAATGTTTTTCGGGACTTCTTTTAATTTTTAACAGTGTTCACTCAGTATTAACCCATATTAAAAACCAAAGAGACTACTAACGGTGATAACATGATTGGGGTCAGTTATATATATCAATATATTGATAAAAAAGAGTGAGGCAGCAAGAAAGAAGCGATGGATTGAGCAGTTGTTAAAATACTACACCCAGCTGTCTGTTCAGTGGTATTTCATGTAATGTGCTTTTTAATGATTTAACTAGTACCATAATTTAATGACATTATTGAATGTTCATTCAACATTGTATGTGTGTATGTGTCATGTCCCAGTTCAATTTATTTAGTAATTGTAATCCATACTTGTGAAGGGGTGGAGGAAGGAGGCGATAAGGAAGCAACATACAGTTGTCTCACATGGGCAGTGATTATTTGCCAGGGAGCGTGTATTTTTCTTTAAGCTCCTTCACTTGATCCATTTTTCTAATAACTAAACATCTGGTATAAATAGTTGAAAATGCCATTCGGGAAACAGAATTTGTATATAATAAACTTCAATATATGTATCATCTAATTGCTAATATATACATAAGTAAGACAAGAAAAATTGAAAAAGTTATGGAATCGGATAAAAAACATTGGGGTCCTCATTCGCACTGCTCTATAAGTAATCTTTCAGCTTCCTCTTATAGGCTAACTGAGTCTAGCCAGGCAAGAGGGGAAATATTATGTCTTTTGCATGCACACTTTTCCTCAGACTAAAAATGACCCATCAACGTTGACAAAAATTTAAGGTTTATCAAGAGAGGTTGCAACCTTTTTTCTTCTTCTCACAACTGCAGACCTGCCAAGAAAAAAAATCTGTAGGGTGGTTGCTTGCAGGGGAAGGGCGTGCGTTGCTTTAAAATCTATAAACTAACACACAAGCCTTTTTAGTAACTAAAGAAATATAAAGTTACTTCCATTGTCTTTGAAGAATCCACAGAATATGAGAAAAACATTACAATTACTGGAAATGTTTATATACAGTACAGGACAGAAGATCCATTTTAGATATATAAGTACGAAGGCTGCTAAGAGTTCAGTTTTCCAGCATATCCCTGTTTGCACTTGTCCAACAGCTCTTTGGTTGGACAACTGAAGGTTAGCATTGCATTGCAATTGATTTTAGTTACAACCAAGTTAGGTGAAAGAGTATCAACTTTATTGCTTGCCCTTGTTTCATTATAATTTTTCTTCACAATCTTCAAGCAATATGCGAGTTTGGAACATATCTTTGACTCTGGCATTAAAACGATCAGATTCCTTAGCAAAAAAACTTTTAATTAGACATGGATTACTTTTACTTTTAGCTGCAGTTGTAATTGTATGTTTTTGGGGGGTTAAAATATGTATATAATAATTTATATACCTATAAATATCATTGTACCCACCACTTTCAATAGATTTAATGATTTAATTAAGAAAAGCTTTAACAAAAAAAAAAAGTCTGAATTTTTTTTTTGCTTTGGAAAAGGATGAATCACAATGGGATCAATTGATGATTGAAGAACGATTTGAAGATCGTGGTTCTCTTCGATAAAAACAAGGCAGTGTCTACTTGTCAGGCGACCGGACAAATAGTGCATAAGATATTCATCCGGCGGGCATGTCCCACTTTATTGTCACTTTTTAACCGATTGATCATTATATATATACCAGCAATGGGTTCTAGTATTTCTTTTGTAGAATTGATTTCTTTTTCATGTAAATGTCCAGACTATCTTGAATTTGTTGAAATGAAGTACCATAAACTCTGATCGACAATTAGCAGTCACATGACAAAGCAGGCGGACAAATATCTCGCGCAACTTTGTTACGCTGGTCATGTCATTTGGTCAAATATATAGTGGCCGGGTGAATATCTTGAGAACTTATTTACTTATTTGTCCGGTCGCTGGACTTGTAGACACTTCGTGTAAAACAAATGCATCACTTCCTGTCATACCCGATATTTTTTTTTTTTATGCTTTTGGAATTTTAATGGCGGGTGAAAAATTATAAAGTTCGAAAAATTGGAATATTAAGGGGTTTGTCGGAAGGTCGGAATGAGGGGTAACAAATCCGTATAATTCCGATTTGGTCAAATATATAGTGGCCGGGTGAATATTTTGAGAACTTATTTACTTATTTGTCCGGTTGCTGGACTTGTAGACACTTCGTGTAAAACAAATGCATCACTTCCTGTCATACCCGATATTTTTTTTTTTTTTATGCTTTTGGAATTTTAATGGCGGGTGAAAAATTATAAAGTTCGAAAAATTGGAATATTAAGGGGTTTGTCGGAAGGTCGGAATGAGGGGTAACAAATCCGTATAATTCCGACAAAATCAGAAGGGTTGGCAGGTCTGCAACTGAATTTAAGATACTTTTTAAAATGTAGGACCAAAAAAGAATAAATAGATATTTAAATAGTTGCAACTACCAAAATCAAGTTGTGGCTAAAATGTATGGCAAGATTAATTGAAAATTTTTAAAAATTAAATTTTTATACATGATGACTTTACATTTTATTTATATTTTTAGTACAACTACAATATCTGGACTTTTTAGAACTTTTAAACTATTTTACATGACTAATTAATAAAGTATTGCTAGCACGCTGGTTTGAAACTATGGATGAAACTCGGAGAACACACTAAAACATGTTAACTATACTGTAACTTGCCCATGACAATGGTTACACCCTAAACTAAATGTAGGCATGTTAGTCCATGATGCAGGAGTCATATTTGCCTTTCAATACAAATGAAATATTAAAACTTTTTGAAATAAATGACTGAGCCTTCAAATATTCTAATAGTTGTCAATGCCCTAACTCAAATTAAATACATAGAACATGTGAAATGGAGCTGACAAGCTACTTATACCATTAAGAAGGGGACGTCGGTCAAAGACAATCGCTAGGTCAATCTACCTACAGACCTGCTTAACCTTGTACTCCTATATTTGTACAATATTTTACAATCTTAATAGGAAAAAAATAAACATACAATATATATGATGTATACAATAACTACTCACATTACGTGTCTATAAGAATCATGTTAAGCTGGCAACAAAAAAAGTTTACTTCTAAAAGTAAATTACCAACATTTATATTGCAATCTGCAGTAACTTTGTTTTGCAGACTTTTATCTGCTATAGATATCAATTAGGCAGTGTCTACACGTCAGCGCGCCGGACGTATATCTCCCGCACTATTTGTCCGGTGACCAAGTCACATGACCGCCGTAACAAAGTGGCGAGAGATATCTCGTCGGCCAGCCTTGTCACGTGACTGCGAATGATTCAAAACTATTGTTAATTTTAAAATCTATTTCTCTACCTAGTAATGTACTGAGTATCTTGAATGCAAATAATAGAAAAAAACTTAAGTGAAAGTGGCTTGTAAACATTTTTGTTTAGTTTGTTATTTGAGTTTGTGTACCAGTAATATCCATAAAATAAATTAGGGGCCAGTATGGAGTAGGCAACCAATAAAAGTAAAAGATTTCATTTTAAATTGCTACAAAATATTTAAAAACTTCTCATGAAACTACTGATGCTGATGAACAGGATAATATAAATATAGTATAAAATATTTTTAATTAATATGGGAAAAAATAAACGATCCTATACCAGGTATTGATCCTCAAATCATAGTAACGTCAAGCGACCACTCTACCACAAGACCACACAATATCTGCCAAAGTGTACTTCGTTCGGAATAATAACAACTACTAGCCGTCCGGCGGTCACATGACATGCCGCCGGACGTACATCTTGCGCACTATTTGTCCAACGCGCCGGACGTGTAGACACTTCGCATTAATATTTAGGTGAAAGTGCAGATCACATTATCCCAGTCTGTCACTGATAAATATAAAGTTACTGTACGGGTGAAAGTTAACATGGTTCGAACTTAAAGTCAGATAAGCATAAAATATAATTTATGAAAATAAGAATTATTAAATTATGGCATCATTTTTTAAAAAACTTACCAAACAAATTGATATTTATTTTTTAGGAAAAGCATTTTTTCCATTAAAATATTACAGTCTTATGACTACCAAAAACTATTAAGGACGAAGGGGTATTAAAAAATCGTACAGCTATTTTGTTTATTCTAAAGATTTCAAAGGATCTCTCAGATCCCCATTAAATATGTTGAAATCAAATGCCAATGTAAACAGGTTTGTACCTAGCAACATCTAGTTCAATAATAAATCACATCGTCCCTCATACAACACATATCCCTTTGAAAATTGGCACTAATGTACATAAATTTATACCAGGGGTTCTTAATCAGGGGTGTCCAAAACCCCTTGGAAGTATGTGAGGCCATTTCTGGGGGTAGGGGAAGATCCAGAAAATCAGGTTTATTTGCATTTTCATCAGAATTTTTTTTCATCAGAGAGGTATAGAACAAAAGTATTAAAAACATGATGGAGGTGCAGGACAGGTTTTGAAATCAAGTAATGCTGCAGCACCTGATGTATACTGGAGAGATATAAATTAAAGTGAAAAGGATAAATATTAAATTTCAACTAAAACTACACATGGAAAGATTGCTTATAATGAGAAAAGATTTCCCAAAAGATGAGACAGTAGCAATAATGGTTTAAAGGAATGAAGGCCAAGTTATCCAAGTTTTTCCATGTCCATTTCCAATCAAAAATTGAGTAGAAGTCTCCTTTGCTTTACTGTATCTATGCAGACTATGAGTGAAAATTTTTACATTTGGGAATGTTCATCAACTTTATCTATTTTTGAAAAAAAAGTTATACCCTCCGAAACTTGGCTTGATTATTGAGTTGTTTTTGGAAACACCACAGGACACCCAAACTGTGTCACAATTTCTATTCTTAGACACCCCCCCCCCTCTGAGCCTGAGATATGATTATGGACAACCCTTTCTTACCCCCCTCCCCCTGAACTAAGTGTGTTTGTAAAGTTTGTTTTCTGTGCACCCCTTAGTTAATTTCACTAATTTTGTTCTACCCCTCCCAATTTTTTTTTTTTTTAATATAAATGTATTCTGATACAGCCTTAGCATGGCAGCAAGCCGTTGTCTCCTCTCAAATGAATCATGAAATAAATATGCATGAAGTTGAAGAATCGATTGAGCGATATTTTTAAAAATAACGAGCCACCGCTGTATTTGCCGATGTTTCACCAGTTTCAGAATATCTTACCAACAATGTAACAAGTAATGCAAATAATGAAAGTGCTGCCATTCTTCAATGGTTGCTTAGCATCTGTTTTTAAATTCTATTTATTCAGTTATAAACTGCTATTAACAGCACGGTCCCTCTTCAGCAGTCGACGAACCGGATGGGAATAATATAAACATGGCGAATGTTTGCGTGTAATCTCGTCGAAAATTCGAGATTCTGAAAAGTGGTTGGAACAACAAAAAAACTTCGTCTTTTAATTAAGTAGAATTTCATCCCAATTTTAAAAATAATTATTTTCTATTCTAAAATATGAAGAGTGCATGTCGATTCATAAAATGCAAAGGTTCGTTTTTTTTTCCAGGCTTTTGCAAAATGTATACAATAGAGTGCTAAAAGGTTAAAAATGCGGAAATGCTTAAGCACTCGCGCATGTGTAAGGTACAAAAAACCGCAGGAATTTGTTTGTATGGAGACGGTTATACTCGGTCTCGCTCCTTACCAAGGTTTATCAAATAATTCCGAGATAAGAATGTAAATGGTTTCAGATTTTTTTTCCCAACAATATCAATATAAAATAATAACATATTTGCTGGGGTATTAAGACGCATTTTCACCCTTAAAATAAGCCTAAAATAAGCCTAAAATATGGGGTATATCTTATGCGCCGGTATTGTAGCTTTTTCCACTTAAAAATTTGCAAACACGTTACATTTGAAAACTTATTTTAAACATTCAAATCACTGATATTTCCGTGAGAACACATAATACCCTTTTCCAAGTGTTAGTCTTTTGGGAAAAAAACAAAAAGCTGATTCGTGGACTGAATTCATTAAAAAAATATGGGGAGTCCAGCTAGCTTGAAAATCAGTGCAGTCTTCACTGTGAGCCTTAAACAAGCTTCAAGGCTCTTCTCGCTTCCCAGGTCACTTCAAAGAAAGTGTGGGCACACTTTTTTTTTTAATCAAACAAGGCAAACCTAGAAAATAGCACCCCGAACACAATTAGTAATAACAGTTGATGCATCGGTATTAAGGCAGTGCTGTGTAATGATTTTTTTTCGGGTTTGGATGTCTGTGACTCCCTAAAACTTTTCTTCTTCGTCTTCAATATAATAAGGGCCCATGGTCAATGTATTGATCATTCTGGCACCTATGTAGGTAGAGGGGATTTGCAATGTTTCTGTGTCTTGCATCAATAAAATATTTGAAAATAATTATGTTATACTAACTATGGAAAAAACAAAGGTATCGTATTCTTATATAAACTAAAATGTCAATTTAAATTAAAGCCTCAACATCTGCTAACATTTTTTTTTTAAATGGTCATTTTTGTAATGATCATATGCTATGCATTTTTTTGTTGTTGTGTGTTTCAGATAAGTCAAGCCTTTTATTATATTGTAATAATTTAATAGTATGTCTGTAATAAAATGAATTAGACTACAATATTCTTCTTTCGTTGATTTTAAAGCCCATTTCTGAATTACAGCGGTCTTTAAAAGTATTAATTCAAACGCTTTATTTTGGATTACTTCCTAGATAAAGCCGGATTTCGTTATATGCGAAAACCAGTAAAAAAATGGCGTCTAAAATTCTGGATGCTTAAAATTAGGCTTTGTTACTTCACTATAAACTATTGTGTAAATATTATTGTAGTAACATGTCTGAGCTTTAAAAAATTGCAGAGAATAAATAACACCTTAAGTAGGCGATAAAAATAAAGAACTTTGACCTAAATTTAATTACGCAAATTCATTCAGATTCAAACTTGTAAACTTGTAGTAATTAAGTAAGTAATTGATGTAAATAATTTAGCCCACTGCACTTCTACTATTCGTAACTATTCTAATTCTACAAATGAGACAAATGCTACTGACTACTGAAAAAAAAACTTCCTGATCTTGTGAGAGCTACAGTTACAGTCTTCTACTTTACTTTGGACTGTCATCACTAGTCTACACTACACTACTTCAGTGACAACAGCACAGGTAATACCTCTAACAACCAGAGTCAGTGGTCCCTGAGTGGTGGTGGTAATCTCCTATTTAAAATGCTTCATTTATTCTTATTCAATCTATCATCAATACAAATGAAATAGCGCACTAATCATGACTTATTTATCTCAAATTGAATAATTTTTTAAAACTTTATTTTTATTAACCTAGTGTCTACACGTCAGGCGCGCCGGACAAATAGTGCGCGAGATATACGTCCGGCGGCATGTCACGTGACCGCCGGATGGCTATTAGTTGTTATTATTCCGAACGAAGTGCAAGTTGGCAGATATTGTGTGGTAGAGTGGTCGCTTGACATTATTATGATTTGAGGATCAATACCTGTTATAGGATCGTTTATTTTTTCCCATTTTAAAATTAACAATAGTTTTGAATCATTCGCAGTCACTTGACAAGGCTGGCCGACGAGATATCTCTCGCCACTATGCTACAGCGGTCATGTGACTTGGTCGCCTGACAAATAGTGCGGGAGACACTGCCTTTTATTAAACCAATCTAATGCTATCTAATTTTAGTTATAGCCCATCCCCTATAGGCCCTACTAATAATTTATTGTAGGCATAAGTCATAAGTGCTTTAAAAGAAATTTTAAATTGTCTGACCTGATTGCCTTGAATATTAAAAGATATATCATTGATCATATTCTTTAAAGTGCTAACTATAAGAAGGTACTTCGGTTAAAAAAAATATTTTAAAAATGTAAAAATAGTTCAGTTATACTGGTATAGAGCAAATTTCAATTTTAAAAAATGAAACCAGAATAGACTTTCTGGCATTAGTCATTAGTACTTTTTGAGCTATGAATTTTTAATTCAATTCTGCCTCACTGTGAAGATACAAAAAATGGCAAAAAGTATGTTTTCCTTTCGGAAAAGGATAAATTGACCTAGCCCTTTTGAAATCTCATGCAGACATCTCAACCAGGTGTGCTACATTATACTGTGAACAAAAAAATTATTTTAAAAAGTTTAACCATTAATTTTCAAAAAGAAAAAATAAGAAAATCCAACGTACAGTTTTACTTAAATACATTTTTACTCACTTGATTATAGGTTCCTCCCAAAATAATAACCAATAGAGGTCAGTGTAGTCAAAATCCATTTATCAAAATGATTAGACTTTCGATTCTACACTACATTCTGCCAATCTATGCTTCAACTCGTTCACTGACCCTCACTTTCCTATCTATCTCACTGAACTGTTGCTTCCTTACACCCCCACAAGACAACTACGCTCTTCAATTGACAATAGAAGCCTCTCAATCCCAAGAACCAAAACTAAGACCATCGGTGAACGCTCCATCTACTTCCATGCGCCCATGTTCTGGAACGAGCTCCCCTTCCACATCCGTCATTCTGAAACCTCGTCCACTATCTATAAAGTCCCTTAAAACCCATCTGGTTAGGTCCGCCTATGACCTGTGATGCACCCTCCTTGCCCTGCCTCATTTTCTGTCTCGGGTTGATCCTGTAGTATAGCCCAAAACGTGCCAAAGTGTACGCGTTTCTATAGCCATTTTAATGTTTAAGCTACTGTTTCTATAGTCATTTTTATTGTAGTTACTATTCTAGTGTCTCTGGTTTTTTCCTTTTTCTTTTACTTTAGCAGTTTAAATAGTTTACATGTTTTTAATAATTGTAAAGCGCTTAGAGCTGTAAGGTAAGCGCTATAAAAAAATGCCTAAATAAATAAATTAATTAATTAATTAAATAAAACTATGATTATGTCATCAAACAAACATTTAACAATTATTGTACCGGAATAAAAATATTAAGTTCTAGTCATCCTTTGTCAAGGCGGAATTCGTGGTCTAAACAGAGGAGAGATATTCCTAACCTCTTTATAAATTAAAACGAATAAGTATGATCACAGGTTAATGGCTTATAATTAATGATGCTAGAACCAAAGCCAGGAGTGTAGACTAAAAATCCCTGTGAGCTATTGCTACTTTAAACAGCAGTGAGTCTTTGTTGTATAGACCTTTTCAAAAAAAAATTTTAATAGACTTTTACAGTACTTTATAATTATAAACAAATAAAAAAAGATTTATTGATATTGTATGTAGGATAATATTGATTGATAAAAATCCCCCAAAAATGGCAATCATCCATGGCCTACTAACTTTATCATAATAGTATAGTCCATTTTAGTAATAAATACCATAATACCAAGTGACTTTAATTCATTTTTTAAAAAATCCTCCCTAAAGTTTCTCCCTAAAACTAGTGAAATTTCATGAATTATTCCAAAGCTTTGTACCAGTACAGGAATATCATTTCCTCATTTAGTCTCAGTACTCAACATTTATTTTTTACAGACAAACATGTCATTATTTAAAACCAGAGACTGGTGGTCCATCACTGTGGGTGAAGAAGAAGAATTTAACCATGGCTGCCTGTGTATTGGCAACATTGACAATGATCCAAATGGATATGGTTTGTCTTTTATTAATAAATTTTAGATCCAAGAAATAATTAATATGTGATGGTAAATGTATTTATTATTTGAGTTGCAATGTTTACCTCTTAATTTATTTTAGCTTATATTTAATAAAACAATGAATGTGCTCAAAATATAATCTGAAAAAAAAAACATACATTTTTTTGTTTTAGAAGGTCTTATAAGAGATCCCACAATATTTACATAACGGTACCTTATGGCTTAATAGTTAACCTTTTTCATTACAGATAAAATCATAATTGGCAGTTTTCATGGCATCTTAAGAATTTACAATCCTAATCCTTCAAATGGGAGCGCAGTGGATGATGTCGTAGTGGAAAAAGCCTTTCAGCAACCAATTCTCCAGTTGGAAGTTGGAAAGTTCTCATCGTGAGCTCCTTAAAGACATTTATTTATTTAATTGTTTGATTGTTGGCATTTCATTTAAATCAAATTTTAGTACAACTAGTTTAGCACTCAAAGTAGTAGACTATTTTTTAAGGAGTAAATTTCTGGGGATTATTTTTGTTTATTGTTTAATGCATCACTCTTTTTCTTGAAATAAGGAAGTAAACTCATTACTACCAAATTAAAAAACACATGGTTTGGCAAATTTAATGGAAGTTTTCATCATTAGTACGGTACGGTAATACATTTTTAAAAATAAAAGCTTAATAGAGGAGGAAGTATTTCCATGGAAGCTATTAAAATTTAATGTTGATTCAAATGTAGTTTATTGAAAATGAAGTTGTTTTTTTGTATTATTATTATGCAGGGCCTCTGA